ATTAATAATATATAAAAAAATTTCATATCAAAATATTACTCATATCAATCCCACGTGAAGAAGCTAACTTCCATGGCATAAACCTGCAACAAATTAATCTCTTGTGTTGATGGATAACTACTACATTAGCTTTGCATCTTTGATTTGTTTTCTCCGGTTGTGATTGATTGTCAATGTTGATCCCATCTCATTGATGGGATTCTTCTTTCATACAACAATAATATTAAGAAAGTAGTGATTTTATATAAAGTCTCTGTTATATATATATATGTGTTTAGTTAATTTTCTATAATTAACTTATATATAAAAATCATCTGAAGTTTGAATTTGGTTATAACCTTAAGTCTTGGTGATGTACTCGAGATTTACATGTATTATAATAAACTCACTTTATATGATCACCTTGTGAATAGAAAGCGTTTATAGAGTTTTTTATCCATGCATGATACAACTAGCTAGTTAAGATAATAATTTTATTTTTATCATATAGATATTAATCTTAATTAACCTGAATAAATAATTAATTTTATGAATAGTTTAGGTTCAAGTTGAATTCAAAACCTAACCCAACTTGACTGGAATAAACTGTCATCTAGATGTGATAAAGAAAAGGAATAAAACTCTAAAGAGAGAAGTAATTGAAACAAAGTAAAAGAAAGGAAACCCATGAGTAAGTAAGTAGAATAAAGGGAATAAAAATCTAAATTTTAGACACAAAAGAAGAAGAAGAAAATTGAAAACAAGAAGAAGAACGAAACCCATGAGTTTATTCATTTATTCATGTGAAACTTAGGTTGTTTTTGGTCTAGAGTTAAAAATTAAAGTTTAAATTAAGGGTGTAAAAAGTGATTAAAAGATAAAGTGTTAAGGATATTTTGAGTTCAATAAATTTTAATTTTAATTGAGAAATAAAATTAAATGAAGTTGTAAAATAATAAATAACTATACATTAATGATGAGATATAACCAGGGGCAGAAACAAGGGGCTGGGATCCCTGTAAATAATTTTTTTTTCCAGCCCCTTTCTTTAACAAGTTTCTAGTTCCATCTCTAGATATAACACATTTGTTTAAGATCATCCAGCCCCTTTCTTTAACAAGTTTCTAGCTCCATATAACACATTTGTTTAAGATAAAAGAGAAAGAAAATGAGAGACAAATTTAGAAGAAATAATTCAAACAAGAAATTATAAAGCACAATTATCCAAAATTTTCTCCTCTCTCAACATTAAGTGTTAATCCATTTATTATTTACATAAAACCAAACTTCTAATTAAAGATTAATATCATAATTAACTTATGGTTAATGAAATATATATGTTCTTTTCTTAAATTTAATAAATTGCAAACCTCACGAGGTTGTGAAAGTAAAATCAACGTGAATTCTCTTTAATTAAGTGGATTGATAGTTTACATTTGAGAATATTTAAATTTCTACGAACCCGAGATTTTACATTATATATAGAGCAGCAACATTTAAAATACATCAGGGTTGTTGCAATTCTAGCGCAATCTTCTCTTTGTTTTGGAGTATAAACAGCAGGAGAACTTATACTACAATGATGAACTTGACAGGCGTGATAAACAGCAGGAGAACTTATACTACAATAATGAACGTGATCAAGGCAAGCATGTTGTTAATAATCTACTCGAAATGTCAGCAAAAAAAATCCCAAAAAAGAAGAAGAAGGAAATTGAAAGAAGATAAAGAAAAACCATACACGCTGATCAAGGCCGCCTACAAGGAGTTTCAACAATGGTTTCCAAGGCAGGCTTCCATGATCTTTGCTTGGAATACCTCTCCATAGGCTGTGGCTCCGTGACCATACTACCCATTGTTTTCCCTTCTGAAAGGAAAATGCAAAACTCACTGAGGACTGGAAAAATCTTGCCAAAATTGTTATACTTCAATGCCTTGGTAGCCTTATATGTGAAAGAGCTCAGTTCCTCATGTGTTAGCACCGAGTAGAGAAGCTCCATGGGCAAAACAAAGTAGAGTTGGCGCCTCTCTAGCTCATCATCAGCTGATAGACCATGTATTCTACAACCAACTTTTAGACTTGTAGAATCACAAACAAATTGTCCAGGGTTCTCTAGCATGAGCTCTGCTGCTTTAACTGGCTTCGTGTAGATTTGCAAGTTGCCATTATCAGAGAACAAGACTTTCACTACTCCATTTGATGAGATGATTGACGGAGCACAAGATGTTGCATTCCCCATTATAAGATACAAAAAAGAAAGAGGAAGAGAGGGGGAGAGAGAGAGAAATGGAAATGGGTGCCTATTTCTTTAACATGAAGTGATCAAATATGTATCAAAGGTGATAAACAGATGGAGAAGTTGATCATTCGAGGTTGATGGTGTCTCTCGAAATTAGCCAGTTTGTCATGCATGATGGTAGTTGAAAAGGAGAGGAAGCGTCCATGTCCATTGCTGGTTAAGTTGTCGTAATATATATTCAATGGAAGATCACATACTCCCCTCACAGGGAAGCAGGAAGTTGCATGAATTATTTGTGCTATCATGAGGATTTGAGGTGTGCAAAGCGGACACGTTCCTGCAAGGAAATGGAAAAATAGGAATATGGACAAACCTGTTAAGCACAGTCAAGTCACCCTAAGGGAAGCCCTTCCATTTGCTTTTGTTAGGGTTTAAATAAATGTATCCATTTTTGTTTATGAAGGAGTACAGCACATACAGAGGTGGGAGAAATGGAGCAGAGCTCACTGAAGACTCCACCAAACTAATGATTGGATACTGTGACAAGCTAATTCTTTGATCCAATTCCTCCCTGCAGGTCACCTTCACCTAACTCCTTTAAAAACATGCAGATGTTCTTCTTTATTTATAGTTTCTCTAGCTTATATGACGTTTGAGCTAGTTTATATTTAATTTTATAAATTTTAAAATTAATAATTATATAAATTTTTAATAATTATAAAATTAATTTGTGAAACTCAAATTAATAATATCTAGAAAATAAACTTAAATCTAATTAGTTTAATTACATCATTTAATATTTTATTTTACATTTATTGCTTTTCACACGAATGTGTGTGTATATATATACACTTTATTAATACAATTAATACAAGAAGAGTAAGTATATATCTTTTTTTAGAATAAGAAAGTAAGTATATATATCTGTCCATGAAGATATGAAAGAATATATGTACAATAAATAATTACAGTTTCAATTTTTTTTTTTTATTTACATGGGGTGTCCGGACCAACTTACGCGCACCACGACTAATCCTCACGGCCCACTGAATATCCTGCAAGCCCAAGCATGGATGGACGTCTAAATTAGTTATCTGACATTGTTTCGCGTTGGATAAGCATACTGACATCGGATCGATTCCTCCGTTTTCTCAGACTTGCTTCCGTCTTTTCATATATTTAAAATATCTAATTAAATATATATCCATTAATTATTCATGTCCAAAGTATCTAATATCACACAATATATATTCTAAGAAAAAGAGTGAAGAATAAAAGCAAGATATATAAGTTTTATATTAAAGCACAATTTATTTTTGTGTTTGAAACTGTGTTTTAATATATTTTAAAAATATACTTAACTTGAAAAATACATCAAATATACATTCTTTAGTGTTTTTTAATATTTTTAATATAATAATGCGAAAAATAACATAAAACCTGAAAACAAAAATTATTTATGATAAAAAAATTTGACGAGTTTTGTTCAATTTAGACAATATTAAAAAAGAAATGAAGTTTTGATTGTTAATCAGCTAGATTGTTGTTATTATTATTATTATTATTATTGCTGCTATATTATTATTATTATTTTATTATTGTTATTATTATTATTATAATTTATATTGTTGTTGTTCTTATTACTTTTAATATTATTATTATTAATAATATTGTTATCATCTGTATTATTGTTATTCTTATTAGTAAAAATTCCAACGATTTAGCTTTATGTATATCCATGTATAATATATAATAATATAATGGGGCCAACGTCTAAATCAAGGAGGGAAAAATTTGAACTCATAAAACTACTAATGGTTATTTTGAATATTTTGAAAACATCTCCCTTTTCTTCTATGTAAGTCCACCCTTTCTCATCTATGTTGGTATTGTTTGTTTTTGCAATGTAAAAATACTTTTGAAATTATTATTTTTTGCTTCAAGTTAAGTTTTTAATGTTTTTACATTACTTTAATTTGCTGATATTAAAAATAAATTTTAAAAAATAAAAAATTATTATTTTGATATTTTTTTTCAAATAAAAAACACTTAAAAAAATTACTATTACAATATTAAATAATCTCGTATAAATACCGCCCAAGTTGACACAAGTTTTGGCTATGAAACGTAATTACAGTGAAATGATAATGAAGTTAATAATGACTCAAGAGAACTTTGTTTTTTTTTCAAAATAATATATAGTTAGAATATAGTATTGTAGTTAGTATATTCACAAGTAACATGTCTTCAATTTATCAACTTTACAATCTAATTTATGATATATGCAAGCTAAAAAACAAAAAAAAAATCCAATATAACATAACACCTTTCATTGCTATGAAGTCCATTTGCAGTCTCGAAATACTTAAAAAACTCCATAAATTTTAGCCTAGAATATATAATCTCACCACCATTTTAAAGCTGATTTCCCACCATTTCACTTCATTTGTAGCCTGTGTTTGGTTGGCCGTTCTCCCAAATAAGCTCTTAATAGCATAAGATTTTGTAGTAGCATTATCACATGTCATGTGTTGAACGAAATTCCGATCAAGATTAAAATTGGCAAGATAAAAAAAAAAAAAAACGGTATAAATATTAAAAATTCTTAAATATCAATCTCTCCAGCTTGAAAAAATCTTGACCATGCCCAAGAAAAAAAAATATTTTGATTAAAACGGCATTAGCAACTTCATCACACAATTGTTTATTTGTATAATTAAATTTGGTAGTATCCATATATATGAGCTCTTTCAAAAATCTTTGCTTTCCAAAACGACCATCTCACTATTTGATATTTTCTTAATTTTCCGGTCCATAGACCCAACAATATAAATAAAAGTTACGACTATTTTTTTTTTTCTAAAACCATATTGTCAAAATATCTAAAGTTTATTTAATATTCTCTTTTAACTCTAGCAAGATCACATATGTCTTCTATTTTATCAATTTGACTTGAATCCTAACCTGTATCAAGTACGCTAGTTTGAGAATTAATATGAAAAAAACGTTTGTTAGTTTCTTTTTTTTTTCTGTAATAAAAGTTTTTTGATTTTAAAATTTGTATAAATTTATATTATTCTGTATTTAATTTTTATCAAATAAATATAAATAGTGAAATTTAAATTTATGACCATTAAATTATTAAGATTCTGATACCATATAATAAAATTATCTTAATATAATAGTTTAAACTATTAAATAACATTTATATTATTTTTTAATATTTTTTTATATTTAAAAAGATTACTTTTTCATTACTTAGGCTTTAATTTTAGCTTTTTTTTTTTGGGAGCGCGAACTGAACAAATAGAGATGGGTTAAAATTCAATTTTTTTTATTAAATCACTTATCAAATTAAAAAAATAAAATAAAAATAATTACATAAAAAATAACTTTATCCCTTTGGAGAGATTTAGGCTTCTATTTGATTTTGTAGGCTTGGGTAATCCATGTTTCTTGGGCTTACATTGCCTTGTATTTCAGACACGGGCTTTCTGTATTAGCAGTTCAAGTTTTTATTTTTTATTTTTTGAAAAGTCCTTGCTGCAAGAGAAAAGAAATTGGGCTGGTGAAATTTTGGGTGATAATGTAAATTAGCAATTTCAAAGAACATTGGCCTCAAACTTCCTGACTTGAGGGACTAAACAGCAATTGTAGGAAAAAAGGAAAAGAAAAAGCTGAAGACTACAGAGTTTCTCGTATCATCGTACTCCATCACCAGAGAGCGCTACTAGATCTCACACGGCAAAACGCGAAGCCAGGGTCTCAATTGGCGAGTCCTTTTTTTTTTCTTCCTCTTTCACTTCTAATAAAGAAGCCCAGTTTCCTTTTCTTCTATCTTTGATTTCTCGTTTAGGTTTTACGCCGTAGTTTATTTTTTAGCTGTAAATAATTGTGATTCCACTCCTGGTCAATGTTTTTTGTGTCGATTGTAGGCTTAGGATGAAAATAATGAATCAGAGTCTTAAATTTAAAACCCCCATTTCATAATTTTCAATATGTGCTTGTTTGGTTTGTTAAAGTCATGATTTTCAATTCTGGGTATGTAAAATCAAGAGCATTTTTTTTTTTTAAATTTAATTCTGGGTATGTAAAATCAAGAGCATTTAAACAAAAAAAAATTGAGATCAGCATTGGTTACTTGGTTGAACTGTATGATTTTAATTTTTATGGAAAATTGTTTCTGTAACAGGGAGAGATAGGTGATGATGGATGATGGAGTGCCAAATATAAAGAAATGGGTGGTGTTATATCCTGTCTACATTAACTCAAAGAAAACAATAGCTGAAGGGAGGCGGATTAGTGCAGAAAAGGCGTGTGAGAACCCTACTTGTGTTGAGATTGGTGATTGTTGTGGCCACCTCAAACTTCCATTTGCAATTGAGGTTTGTTTTGCAATCCACAGTTTTTTCTTTTTTATTATTAGAGCTTGTGATTGCTGTTTGTTTGTGATTTATGATGCGTCTTGGATGTTCTAGATTGATAAGGCGTATCCGCGAGATTTCATGCAAGTAGGGAGAGTGAGAGTATTGCTGAAAAGAGAAGATGGGAGTTTATGTAATCCTGCAATTCCTTCCCGTAAGCATACTTCACCATTGTTTCTGTTTATCTTATGATTCTGATATTTCTGTTGGCTTCTTTTTCATTAATTATCCTTTTCTTTTTCTTTCTGAGATCTGCGTAAATTGATGGATTTGTACATATAGTTTTTTCAGCACTTAAATTGAAGTGTATTGGTATTGATCAAGTGTGATTTTGTCAATCTTTTATGCCTATTACATTGAATTATGCCTCACCATTCTTCTTCTTCCTCTTCCTCTTCCTCTTCCTCTTCTTTATTTTAACAAAGAGAATGCCTCACCATTCTTCTTCTTCCTCTTCTTTATTTTAACAAAGATAACTATTTTCATGAGTTGCTAGTGTTGAAGTAATTCCATATTTGTTATGTACAAGGATTGATGTGGCTTTCAATAGTTTATAGCCTCTTCAAATAGTGGCTTGAGATTTTGGGTTAATGCTTGGACATGGTATAGAACTGTGCCATCATTGTGTTTTGTTTTGCTGTAATTGATTCACAGGATAGGCTCATTTCCATAAAGTGAAGCAGCTTTTTGGTTAGAGACTCTGACGATGAACATGTATCAAGCTGCCAGTGGCTAGAATCTTGCAAATATATAGAAGAATCTGACACTTTTTAAATGCTAATATATATTTTAAAATCTTTTAGATGATTTCCTCTCACAAGTGAGATGAACTAGGAAATCTAACCCACTCCTTTTCCCATTCACTCCCCTTCTTTTCTTTTTCTCATTTTAAGATCCAAAAGAAATCAAACTTCCTTTCTGTTAATTCTGGTACTTTCCTTCCTTTTTCATGAATCCATATGTATTGGTGAATTCAACAAAACTTATATAAGATTTTTCTTTATACTTCCCATATGACAGTTTATTTTTATATTTGCCACATTCTCATTGGCACCTCCACCTTTCTTGTAGACACCTCTTTATTTTGTTCTCTAATAATCCTTGTTGCAATTAATTCTAATGCGGTAACATGTAGGGGACTCAATGGTATCATTTAAGTGGTCCTAATTTCCAAGGGACAGTAAATGTTGATATGCGTATTGGTTTCTGTTACTCTGCACAGAGACTTTTCAAGAAGGGATTTTGACACAAATTTAACCAATCTAAGAATGTATATTTAGTATGTTATGGTGTCATTTGCATCTAGTATTTCATAAGACTAGTTTCTGCTAGGGATCCATCACTTGAGAGCTGAACTGACCTTTATATTGGTGTTGTTTTAATTGATGATTTTGTGGACACCTCTTGCATGTTAATGAGTGGTTAGCAGTATTTACATGAAATACCAGTGCTCCACTTGGTGATCTGGACGGTTTGATGATTGTTCCCTTTTAGTTTAGTTGAGAAATTTGAGAGCTGCCTCTCATCCTGATATGCCATGGCACTGTACTTCATTGACCTGGAGGAAAAATAGGAGTGTATTTTTGTCACCTCTATCAAGAAAGTAAAGTATAAGGTGAAAAAACAATTAAAAATCAGCTCAAAGTTGGATGGGCTGATGCCACTTATATATGAGCGTCTGTCCTACCTTTCATATGTAATGGATTTGAAACTTCGCCTTATTGCAGGAAAACAGCTTATGTTCCATGTTGCAGAACTGGTACCTAGACATCCTGGGAGGACCAAAAAGCAGGAGCCTGCATCCACGGCAAATGTTTCAACATCCAAGTCTGGGAAGGGTGGGAGAAAGAAAAGATAGCCTTCTTCATGAGAAAAAGGATAAGGTTTGGTTTGCAACTAGCTGGTAAAAAATTGACTTTTTTCATTCTTATCATGAAAAAATTTGGATGAGAAGGGGGTCCTTTTCTGATCAATCAAAGAGCTAAAATTCCAGAATCTTGTGTCACAACAATTATCTGTTCATGCACACCCTTTTTACCCAAGTCTATCCACAAAGTGAATTTGTATGCAAGTCTTTTCACATGGTGAAAAGTGAGGTCTTGATTCAAAATAATCTGGGTTTGCTGTTATATGGTATGCATTTCTTTTGCTGGAGTTGTTGGTTTCATGGCCTTGCTTAGCATTAAGAAATATCATCTAGTGTAACCATAAGAAAATGTCATAGAACAGACTGCCCACATTCTTGCCCCTGAACTCCTTGCAATCCTTGAGGAGAAAATGTACGATCAACTTGATCAATGGAACCTGACTTTGTCACAGAAAAAGTATGATCAATTGTTTTGTTTTGGGTGTTGGAATAGTGATTGGTAGATGGCCCAAGTATCACAGCTATGACATGCTTATTTTAAAATCTTTTCCTGAAGTACATCTAGTTGGTTTCCAGGTATGAAATCTTCAGCTTTACTGTGGCATGCAGTAAAATGTCTTTTTTTACCTGAAGATGACCTGCTAATTAGTTAGGGACTATGGAATTGGGACGGGGTATCTGCATTTAATTTTTTTCACATTGGCACGAATTGCTTTTGACGCGTAAATTTGGTGTCATGTTGTAGTTCTAGTCGTGTTATAACGCTGAGTCTAGCATCGCCATTCCTCTGGGGTCTGAAGCTGGTAATATGCATAACAGAGCTTTGTCTATTGCAGGAACATAGTTCATTGCAATCGGTGAACCTGGAATACAGAGCATGGAACCTTCACATAACTCATGTTGATCTGTGATTGTACACAGTTTTGAAAACCCCATTTAAGGATCAGAGAAACTAATCTGGTGTGACTGAGCTCTTGGATGTGATGATACTCGGATATCACTGAAATGTCTCGTCGCCCCAGTGTCTTAATGTATCTTTGCCGCTCTCTTTCCTCTCCAGAGGCCATATCGCATGATTGCATACTTCATTTAAACATATTCCATATGCCATTCAAAGTCCAACACTTCAAGCATGTTAAGTAATGGATTTTTACGAATTCCATGCGTGGTTACCATTGCCGCACTCAGTTATGAAAAGACACTCGTGTATGTAAATAAATGATCCAAGAAATTAATTATTATAGTATTGAGAATAAAAAAATTATAATATTGAAAATAAATATTTTTGATAAAAAAATAATAATTATATTGAAAAATTAATTACTAAAAATTTAAGTCAAATAAGTTATGATTTTTTTAATATTATAAGAATTAAATAAATTGTTAGATATTATAGGTGATCTTCAAATATAAAAAAATTAATTATTGTATTGAAAAAAATTAAATTGTTTATTTTATTTTATTTTATTTAAAATTATAATTTATAATTTATTGGAGAACTCAATGAGTCGCATATATAAAAATTATTGGTCACAAATTAAAATAGAATAATTAATTAAGTATGATTTGATTATAAATAAGTTTTAGAAATAGAGAACTATAATGTAATTAATACATGAGATTATAATTTAGATTTTAAAAAAATAATAAATTTGTAAAATTATTATAAAATAATATATATATATATATATATATATATATATATATAATTTAAAAGGCATTTTGTTAATTAGATGGTTTGATTGAATTAAATACCAGATTGGTGGTGGAAAGAATACCAGTCACCGAAGGCATAAAGATGAGGGTAACATGAAGCAACGAGAAAAAAAGAAACAGAAAAAAAAGAGAGGATGGGCTTAGTGCTCTTCATAGAACCAGGTCTTTCAAATCTAAAAATTCATTTTTCTGGATTACTATGCATCAATCACACACTCCTCCTGGAGCCATGCTGGTAATGTTTCAGAAGAAACCTGGCCAGATATACACAATTTCCCTTCAACTTTTCCTTGTTAATTTATATCTGTTTTACTGCATGCGCAGAACTTACCCCGATGGTTTTAGCTGAAGTGCTTGCCAAAGAGTAAAATGAACATTATCCCTTGTGTACAAGATGGCTGGACTGCATCTACTCTAGCAGATCATCTGAAAGTTGGTGTGTTTGTGTATTCGAAATGATGAAAGTGGTGGGGGCACACTTAGAGTTCAAATTCATACTTAGTCTGTGAATGCTCTAGTTTTTTTTGACTTGTTAATGCCTTGGAGAAATGACTTTAGGCCGTGAGTTATCTCCATCATATTCATATTGATTTTTTGAAGGCTAAAACTATTAAACCAATTGATCCTTGTAGAATGCTGTGCTTCAGGTTGGAGATTCCATGGATGAAGGGCTAAATTTGGAATGGGAGTATATGCATAGAAATCACTAAGCCTGACAGGTCACCATATCCTAACAACCATCTATTGACAGAGGCACAGACGTTTATCAGCAATGAAGACTTTCAGCCCACCTGCTGCTCCTCATCTTTGACCTCGTATGATCAAAGATGAGGACCAAAGTGAGCTGAAAGTCTTCAGTAACTATTCAAGCACATTTGGCTTGTCTAAATTGCAATTTCACTTCTTTGGTGATTCTCTTTCAATCATTTGCTATGTTTTTTCTTTCAATCTGTTTTATCAATGAGCTGTTCTTGAATTGTGATGCCTTATAAGACAAGCTTTTCAACAAGCCTAAGATATGTTCTGGAATAATAGTGTGGATTGGTATTGGTGCTTCAAGAAAACTCTTCTGTGAAAAGACCTCTCCTTTGTGTCTATGAAAGCTGACAATCTTGTACAATCTAGGAGAATTGCTTTTGTAACTTACAAGGATTAAGGAGGCTTCATCTA